GTGGTCGGTGATAGTCGGGCTAAGATAAGTTGTAATTTTACTGTACCGATATATCCTTAAAGAGAGGGGGCTGTGGTTAACGCTTACTCGGCACAAACTAGGTCATTTCGGAACTAATTTATGGTTCAATTTTATTTCAATAATCGCTTGTGCGTAGGGGTCTTTAACTGCGGGAGGAAACCAAACTAGAGAAAAGGATTAAACCTACGAAGTTGGGCGACCGACCCCATTCCTTGTCAGGTTATAGGCTACAAGCGGGGAATCGAGAAACATTAAGGACAGCACATAAACATGATAACGACCAGTGAAATCTTGTCGAAGCGTTGCGTGTGTATATAGTGATTGTTATCCATAAAACTGCTGTTCAATCGCTAAATGCCATTCAAAGATTTTAAGACAAACCCTTTTGTATACCATTCACTTCATAGCGTCAATAGAATGAGAATATTTTGGACCAGGGAAGGCACTACTCATCTATTTATTGTTCTTGGCGTGGAGTTCTTCGAAAAAGTCAATTCAAGTAAGACCAAAATATAATATTGCGACGACGACGCAATGTCTCGGTTCCTTGTCCACTATCGTACTATATATATTTTTCATTGAGGTGTTATGGAAATGAATTCCAATTTCCATTCGTTTTTATGTATACTCTATACTTGATGAACAGGGTTTGCATGCGAATTATAAATTAGGTACATACCTCAAAAAAGTTTATAGCGATAAAGCTTCGTTTCTTCCGACATTTATAGCGACAATCTATCACCAAGATCCTAAAATACTAGTAAATATCTTCAGTAACATGAATTTAGTGGGATATCGAAGAAAATTGATGTCTTCAATTCCACCGGAATTATTTGGTCAGTGATAATAAATCTCGAATCAGATTTGATATTGGGCATGGTTGGTAAATGGTCAGTTTTATTTGGGTTGTAATAAAGAAACCAATATGTATACCACACGACGTTACGAACTGACTTGGTCGACTGATAACAGTAACTAAAACGTTGATTAAAAAAAGCCTCCTACAAGTCACTCTATGTACTTTTAGATTTATTATTTCGAAATTGCTGTTTGTATCCGTGCTTTATTTACAGAACAGTATATCAGATTAATTATAGAACATTTTTTGTGCAAAATATCATTAATGACACATAATGCCAAACCAAAACCGGTTGAGGTGGGTGGGGTGGGGTGTCTTTTTTCCCCCTTTTTTTTCTTATATGTAATCTAAAAAGAAACACAGAAATGGGTGATGGGTGATAGCAGGACAGGTAGTATGGGCAGACTTCGTAATGCTTTCAGAATGTGGCATTCTACCTATGTTATTATTCTTTATCATTGCAACATTTAGACCTTATGGAGGTCTCTCATGAGGTCCCGTCCGGCGTATGAATTAAAGACTAAATGTTTTATTTTTCATTTCCAACATTTCATCGTTAAAACCAATAGATCGTAATAATAAATAAAAATATCTTTTTTTAAAAAAAAGTGCAACGGATGTAAATCTTCTTTAAGAAAGATTTGCGCCATATCATCATATTCATGAACCGCCTTTATTTCAGTGCGGAAAAGTAGGACCTTAAAACCATTTCTGAACGAATGAAGATACCTGCAATTGATTTCAATGCGGAAGTTAGGGTTTTAGTGAGGAGGAGTGTTTTTCTTATATAGTAATGTCTGTTGAATGATTGATAGCTGTTGTTTTTATTTACTTGTCACACGGGTGTGTGAAGACATTCACCACTATATATTATTTTTAAATTCCTTTATAATTTATAAATAATTCCTTAATTTTGATAATAAAATTCCGGAATATGAAAGGGGAATTAGGTAAGATTAGATAAAGAGCTGAAAGTTATCGCTATAATCGTTAAAAAATAGTTAATGAAAACAGAATATGCTGAAGTGGTCAGTGAGATTGTTTCACTCTAAACCGAGATATTAGCGATTCAATTCTAGGCTAGCCTTAATCGTCATGACTACTGTTGGTACGATAATAAACATAGCCTCGATTATCCATTTTTACGTTAAATCAACCATCACAAAACGTATTCATGTCCATTAAATATCGCAGACTAACGATGGCATCGAGAGTTGGTTCTGGTCTTAATGAGTTAATCAATGTCTTATAATTAATAATTTAGATAACATTTAAGCCTAACGCTGGCGTCACGCCGTCCCGAAAATGACAAGAGATGGTCATACGAATATGGAATTTTGAATTTCGCGCGAAGATGGCCCCGATCTTGGTCAAAAACCAATCAACGGCCGAAGCAAGTGTGATGGCACCCGAACCACGCAAGAATGTATACGAAAATATAAATTTTGTATAGTAGTTTATGCCCGCAGGACACACATGAAGGCCACGCGATGGCTATGTAAAGTTGCTCAGCAAGATGCTTCATCGGGCGCCACAATCTCTCGAAATTGACACCAGATAGTCACACGATAAAGTAATCGTGATGGCATATTAAACCATCGTAGGGGCGTCTGTGAAGTTTTTTAGGATCCGGCAAAGCAACTTCATGAGCCCTGGCAAAATCTTTGGCATGTCAAAATATTGCCGAAAGACCTTGCGAAACTTCATTTTCGCGCTGAATTCGTGTGTCGATTTCTGTAGTACTATGGTCTTTGCGACCATATTGTATCTTTAACTAAGTATTGGGTCCACATACACACATTGTATAGAAGTCCTGTCTCATATGCACTAAAAATAAGTGACAGGTTGACACATAAAAGAGTTATAGAACCAAACCATAGCTGGTTCCATGTGTCAACAAAAGATCACCAGATCACACGTGATTGGAAATTTACTAATTTCATCATTTGGCTTAAGTAACCAATCATAATTGCACAGATTCAATGTCACGAATAGCCTAGTCTGTGCGTGATGTCCATATAGGTCCTATAAAAGAAACCCTGCAAGATTATTGGATTCCGGAGAGATTACCATCTGAGTTCCTAGACCATATGATGTAGCAATTATTATCAGTAGACTCGCTGGGGCGAGTCTGGCTGGATGGGGTTTGAGAGAATGACTTTATTGTAATCAACTATGCATGTATCTATGTATCCAGCTATGCTATTAAATGTAAAAACGAACTGATGCATTGTTATAACTGAGAAGACAAACGTCTTAACTACTTAGATAAGAAGCAAATACATAACGTGAAGAGGAAGCAAAGACTACAAGGGAAAATACTAGACGATCACAAGGCTATTAAAATATGTAGTAAGAAAAGCGGGCATGGGTGTGGCAACCGGTTTGTCAGAGGCCCGCTTTCAACGTCTGACAAAAGACCCATGGTGCTACATTTTACCCTTCATAAGGCCATCGTGAGGGCATTGCACGGACTTCACGTAGTCAATCGGGCAGATTCTTATTTGCTTCGTCAAATGTGTAGTAAAACTTAAAAAAAACATTCAACAGAGAAATTTGTTTCCACGGAAACACACAAATTATAAAATCCGAGAAATTTCTGATTAGCAGGTTACAAAGTTTCGTGAAGATATCTTGAATCGTTGTAAAGAATACGCCAGTTAGACCCGATTAGTAACTGTCTGTTTCGAGCTGAATTATCTAGAAATCAGCGTCTATAGCCTGTAAACGGACTTCAAATTATAGTTCAGACTATCTTTGATTGCTTTAATGTATTGTGATCACTGCAGTTACACCTGAGAAATATTAAATAATGTTATATAGTACAGATAAAAATTATAACACGAATCTATGAACTCTCTGATATCGGACGCAGTAATTTTCTTTCTTTCAGTAGATTATTAGATGTATGAGTATTGATAAAAAGTTTGAATTAATTGATCGGTCCCCCTCTCTCTCTCTCTCTTTCGCTCTCTCTACACACTATATTACTTTAGCGTTGGCATCAGTAGAACCTAACCTGACAGCTGTATTCTAGTATTTCTATTTGGACCGCTGCGGTTGTAATTCTTCTCTGTTCATTACACAATAATTTCTACCATTGGAAAAGTGTAGAATGAGGCTTTAAATTGGATATGAATACAGAATATATATAAAAAACAGATAATATACACAATAATAACGTAATCCCTCTACAGGCAATTATTTAAATTTTAAAAACAATAGATAGAGAATGCTTAGTGATAAGCTTTTAAAAACATTTGACAGAGATTGCTTGATTGTGATAAGATTTTAAAAACATTTGACAGAGATTGCTTGACTAGTGATGAGATTTTAAAAACAATGGACAGGGATTGCCTGTGGTAAGGACGAACCCTATTGAAATTCAGGACCATGCATCAATTATTTGCAGAGTTATTGTCGCAGTCGGACATCATTTATTTGCGTAGTATTAGATTTGTCATCAAAATATTTTAATAGTTTTAAAGGTCATAGCTGTCAAAAGTTTCTTTTTATTGAAACTTGCTGTGAATTATTGAGGTTATATGGCGAAGAATAAAGTTGAACCCTATCGAGTATTTGTAGACTTATTAGTCTTATCATCGATACCCTGTTCTTGTAGATATCTTAAGCTTCGGCTACGTTAAATTCAAGACATGCGGGTCTTTTTGATATTTTTTATTTTATGAGCTGCCTTTTCTTTTTGAATATTAGAAAAATTTCAATAAACTTTATCACTCAAATCATCAGCATTGTAATAACCTCGCTTTATATATGATACGCTTAATTATAATAACAAATTTCCGGCAATCATATTTATGATATATATCAAATATTAGTTTAATATCATGACAACTGGTATCTTACTGTGATATATCCGATTTAACCCCCCAAAAAATAAAATGGATAATTTTGAATTGATCAAGGTTAAAGGGACATATTTTGGACGAGTAAAATTCGCTGCGGGACCAGCTTAATAGCCAGGCCTATACATACTTATAACGAAACATTTTGTTTAGACGTATCTTGAATAAAATAAATGTCACTTTAAATGCAGATTATTCGTATATAAATAAACTGGCTGTTTGCCGTTTTAAATTATTTTGGTAATAAAGTCTGCACAATGATGAAGTATCTTTATTTTGCGCTTTATCTTTTGGGAATAGCCATGACTTCCACGACTTGTACAACTCTTAACGCTTATCTTGAGGACAGAGAAAGGCTCATTACTGAAGAAAACCGCGAGAGAATGGGAAGTGATTTGGTTCTAACAGAAAAAGAACTGCAAGTAAATGCGATATTTATGGACGAGAAGAAAAAAACAATCAAAAGTGCCATCTTCAATAATACCATTTTCCCTCCAGCTCTTAGTTTTTTTAAGACCAAACATCTTATAGACGAGTCCTTGATCTTTCAGATGATATCTAAGATGCCGAAAGGTAAGTAACTGACCTATCCATGAATTTTTTTAAAAAGATAATCAATCAATGTACAGCGGTGAGTTTAAAATAGATTGAGGCAAGTCGGACTTCGAGTACTTTCTTGCAGTATGATAAACTTTGTTAAAAAGTCATATTATTTGGCTTAGCTAAACAGTTTTCTTGTCAAATTTGACTATATATATATTTCAAATATATTTTAAATATTTAAATGTAGATAGTGCTCCTCGCATATAAATAAATGGCCTTTAAATTAAAGAGTAGTCAAAAATGTTGTTATTGTGTAGGGGGGTGGCTATGAAGATTGCGAGAGGGAGGAGTGTATTTTTCAAAATTGTATTGACCATATCATGAAATATTTGGTTCCGTAGGCAAAATTTGAGTTGAAGCAATTACATGCACTAAAACCTACGAAATTGTTCTGTTCGAGGCCTTATGGAATGATAAATATTTTGTTCTGTAGGAGCCTCAACAGGGGCACACATGGCGCACAATATGAGTTGGCAATAGGGATAAAAGCAATATTTAGAGCAAAATTGTCTCGAAGGCTAAGGCGCTAGCTCATTAACCATAATGTTGTGTTAGCCGGGAAATTTTTTCGTGATTTTCCATTCTGTTTCCCCTTGTCAATGTTGTGTAGGTTTACCCCAGTAACATGGTGGGACGATGGCAGCAAGATTTTGCAAAAACACACCAGTGTGGTTTAGTAGTTGCAGCAGAAAAGCGCTAAACCCTCAAGCTTGTCCAAGAAGTAAATATCCCGAAAATATTATTTGCGATTTGGAATCCGTTTTGCTACCCCCGGCTAGCTAATAGTTGAAGCATCATATTGGGCTTCAGGAATATGTATATTGGGGTATAAGGAACAGAGTGAAATGATATGGGTTTTAGGTTAAAGCACACCCAAAAGCGATACGGTCATAAACAAGATTTTAGCATTAATTTAGTATTTTGAAGGTGGCTTTAAACAAAACAAAATGAACATTATTGTCACATAAATAAATAGAAAATCTGTTGCTTTTTATATTGAAATTAGGCGGTGCTTTACATACCCACAGTACGTCGTTGGTTAGTACAGATTGGTTGGTACAAAATGTTACTTATCGTCCTCATTGCTATATGTGTAGAACTTTTGATGACAAATACAGATTTAGATTCTTTGAAGTCGCCCCCTTTAACGCTGGTAAGTAATAACAATTATATATCCGATTTAACTTACTATTTATCTGATACGGATTTACTGATTACAGTTTTACAGTTCTTGCATCTGGCAATATTGCAGTACACGTTGTGCCTGGTAATATTGCAGTTGTTGTATCTGGTAAAATTGCAGTTGTTCTTTTTGCTAATTTTGAAGTATATCTAATAAGACTAGTTTTGTGTATCTAGTAACACCACTGTTTTACGGTTGTTGTATATGGTTAGAATATTATGCTATTACTATTGTTGCATGTGTAGAATATTACGGTTGTTCTATCTGACAAAAGCTATATTCCCAAATGTAGAGACTTCATATTTAAACTTCATGTTGATATTGGTGTAATAGGCCTGTATATTCAACATTGTCTTTAATTCTTAGAGTGCCCGTGGGAATCTATTGCTGTATTACGACAGGAATCTGTAAATGTAGCGGAATTTGATAAAAGGTATATATTTCTTTAATATAACACCAGGTCTTTATCAGCTTCTATCCTTCTTCATAATTAGTTTTAATTTTCAAAACAACATCAGTTTACACGCTTCTTTATAATTAGTTTTAATATTTAAAAAAACATCACTTTATACCCTTCTTTATAAGTAGTTGAAGTATCTAATATAACATCAGTTCTCGATCTATTTACACGCGTCTTCATATTTAGCTTATATATTTTACACCATTCTTTATAATTAGTTTAAATTAATTAAAATTGTCTATGCAAAATCCACTAGTTCACGCTGGTTAAGCAATATTAAGAAACAAGACTGAACCTAAATGATTTCTGGATACTTGCTGTATTTGTAATGTTTTAATCATAAAATGTTCTTACATACATCTTTGAAATATTTGCATTGATGATAGCGTCCATTTTAACTTGTTTAACAATTCTTGTATTATATTTTACCCCAGTTTATACGACAAGTTTTCGGTGGTTATTAATGATCCGGAGATACAACACGTCACTGTGAACGATGTCTGGGATGATTTTATAGAAGCTTTTACTATGATTGATGGATTAATACAGCATACACCAGTTTTTATAGATTACATAGAACAGGCTATGGAAGAATTTCTACAAGACAATGTTCAGTATTTGGAAATAAGAGCCGATCTTCCTATGGTAACATCTAAAACTTTGCTATTATTATAGGACATGAAAGATTTGCAATTCTGACCGGCTACATTTTGTTTTCTGTTTTATTCACCAAACACATAGTTTTGGCGTAAATAGTCGTCACCCAGTCCGTCCGTCAACAATTGGCTTCATTTTTTGACGGATATGTTTCAAATTGGGTGTGAAGGATTGTGGTCATGAGAGGACGAGCTCTATCTTCTGTACCGGAGTTACCCTCCCCCACCCTCCCTTTCCGAAACCCTTGTTATAGAGGCTATAGTTTTTAACAGGTCTTTTTCATATTTGGTGGGAAGCATTGGGGTCATAAGACGTTGCATCCTATCGATAATCAGCCTTCTGGAGTTACATCCTCGTATCGAAATCCTTGTGAACGCGATAGAGGTTGAGAATTTTAACGGATCTTTTTTTCAAATTTGGTCATGAGAGAACAAAGCATATCGATATTTAGCATCCCCCAACCGTCTGTCCCAGAGTTATTCTCCTTTTCCGAAAACCTAGTGAACATGATAGAGGCTACAATTTTTAATGGATTTGTTTCAAATCTGGTGAAAAGCATTAAGATGTGAGAGGACAACTCCTATAAATATTCATCGTTCCAGGACCTTTTTCCGAAAAAACTATGAACACGATAGATTTGGTCAGCATCCAAGTTTTCCTTTCGGATAAGCTGCTATTACGACATATTAAACCCGCTTGTAACTAATAACAGACAACTTAATAGATAACATACACTATGTTTATTAACTTCAACATTTCAATGCAGGTTCTCTCACTGTTTTTAAGCAATTATGATAATCACGAGAGAACCCTCATTGAAACGTTGCAGTTAATAAACCTGGTGAATGTCATCAATAAAGCTGTTTGTTATTATATATTGCTTTCACTAAATGACAAACTAATAATATACGTTCGTAAATGTAATGCTTGTAAGTGTAATGCTTTGTAGCTTATTTTAATGTCTATGCTAATTTATTTTAATATGAAAATTTATTTTTTTTTAAAATAATTATACTCACTAATTGTAATATGTACACTAAAATTATTTTCTTATTACTTACAAAGCTGTATAACCTAGATGGAAGTAAATACTCTAGAAGTTATTGCATGCACATATATCAGAGACAACTAAATAAGTTCAAGCTGAGGCATCCAGGATTTTCCGGGTTTAAGATAATTCTTGCTGGGAACAGGTAAGAACTTGGCGTTTCTGACTGCTCTTGTTCAAATGTTAAATGCCAAGGTAGATGCTTCTTCATCTTATCAAGCCCTTCACGTAATTCCCCGCATATTTAGGCACTAATTTCGATTGGGTACTGACCCAGGTTGAGGGCCTATCAGATTCTTGGACCATCTCGCGCTTTCCAAAATGTCTACCTGTGATAAGGTTCGTTCAATGTCAAGGTTTCCGTGGAGGGCGCCATGTTTTATTTGAATGTGTTTATGTCACAGCCATGTTATATTTGAATGTGTTTGTGTCACAGCCTTTGACTGGGTTCTACTCTTCACTTGTATGTGGAAAAGGGAGATAACGTAGCTATAAGTTTGGGAATTCCAGAGCAGTATAGCAACGTCTAGATGTTGTAAAACTCGCGGGCGTTGCTTCATGAACATGATGGTTCACCATCCCCATGCTGTGTTTGCAACTCAGTTTGTTTTTCTAAAAACCACTTGTGTTTTATTTCATTATTACATTAACATCTCCGTAACTTCGTTTTTCAGGTATCTGTCTCGTTCTGTTATTTGGGCAGATCTACAATTAGCTGTAACTTTAAAACATTACTACCCAGAGCTTATGGCCGGCTACGATCTGGTTTTTCAAGAAGGAAGGGGAAATCCACATGTGTTTTACATAAATGAACTACTTGCCGTTAACAATCTTAGATATTTCTTTCATTCCGGCGAAACTAGTAAGTAAATCATAACATTTGAAAAAAGTATACCTATGAATGATTCATACTCTACTTCAATTGTTAGAACTAAAAATTGTAAGTCGACACTATTATTTATTTTCAAATCTTTGTGGTCGTGTTGTTTTGACACAACAGAGAGAGAGAGAGAGAGAGAGATGGGGTTTAATGTCCACTCGACACAAACTAGGTCATTTCGGGACAAACATATGGGTTTAATTTTATTTCAATAATTCGCTTGCGCGTAGGGGTCTTTAGCAGTGGGAGGAAACCGGAGAACCCGGAGAAAACCCACGAGGTTGACCAGGGGACCCTACTCCTTGTCACGTACAACCGGGGAATCGAAACCACGCCAGTCGACTCAATGACAGACTTTATGATACAGCGCGCACACGCTAACCATTCAGCCATCCAACCACCCTTTGACACAACTGAAAACATGGGAATATTTTGTTTTCGTCTGCAAATGCCAGTGATTGGTCGACAGTATAACATGGCCAGCATTTCTTCTGAATGCATGACTTTGTACTTCCGTGCCCGAAAACAATAAATATTTCTTTCAACTTTGAAATTATAGTTACCTAAATACTATTTTGTGTTAATTTTTAATGGTTGAACAGACTGGCAAGGGACATCGATTGACAATAATCTTATTGACGCCATCTTGCTAAACACCACAAGAATTGGGCATGGTTTCGCCGTTTCTAAACACCCCGCCGTATTACAAGCAACAAAAGAAAGGGGCATTGCTATTGAGGTTAATCCGATTTCAAACCAGGTAGGCTATAGTGACTTACTTATAAACTTAGATGTGTATATATTGTGACAATTTTTATGTTTTTTTGTTATGTTACAATCGAAGTTTCGTCCACCAAAGTTTCGGTCACAGAGGTATCGGCCACGTGTGCGCAAATAGAAGCTAACTGGTTAGGGTTAAAAAAAACCTGTAACCGAAACGTTGGACACTCGTTAAATTTTACCTTTTCCGCGATCCATTTGTTCTACTACAATTTTTCTAGTTCAGTATTGAAATTTAAACAGGCTACTTTGCCCTAATCGCTATATTGTTGATAACGCCACTGTCCTGGCTTGCAACTTCATATACTCACGAGCTGGGGGCCGCCCCCCCCCCCATTTTGGGCACCAAATGCTTTTAAAATTTGGGCACACACTTGTACTTTGTAAAAGTTGTATAAAAAAATATTGTGTTCTTGAATGTGTCTAATTTAACACCAATTTTATTATTATTATGTAACATACTAAGAACCTAACTACATTTTTTGGGCACCAACCACTACCGCCCCCCCCCCCCCCAGTCAAAAATTTCCCCGCACGCCTATGTTAACTCACACAACTAACCAGAGCCGGCGGTATATTATGCTGGGTGTCCCACGTTTGATTTTGATCGCATGCACCATTCACCATATTCATTTCTCTTAGCTTTGTGTAGGTATTACATCTGGTACATGATCTCAGAAACCATCCGGCAGCCATGTTGATATCCCAGAATTACCCTGTTGTCATTAGCTCTGACGATCCCGCTGTTTGGGATGCTAAGCCTCTCTCACACGACTTTTACGAAACCTTTATGGCACTGTGTGGCCAGAACGATGATATCAGAGTGCTTAAACAGCTAGCACTTAATTCATTACAGTAAGTTTTACTTCACGCATATAGTTCTTCAGTAGGCTATTAATTATATTTCATCTTCTAAGGAAAACAGCTATACAAAATAATTAATCCAAAGATATATTGTATATAGAAGAATATTACAGTTTAATTTCTAAATATTAAAATGTCCTAATGAAATTTTAACAGATTCTTAATGACCAGTATGCCGGCTCCGAGTACAAACATGTATTTAGAATACTGGTTAACTTTATTTTATGTGTTATATAACTTTTCGTATTTATAAATGAAATATAAGAATATATATCATACCTAGCAATATTAGTATTTAGATATTAGTTTATGTTTTAATGCACAGCATTAACAAAAAGGTAATAAAATTGTACGTGTATTTATATTTATATTTATATTTAACTAAATATAATTCATTTGTTTAAAGGTATAGTGTGATGAGTCCTGGAGACAAGGAACGGGCTATTGCTTTGTGGCACCAGCATTGGGAGGTTTTCTTGAACGAAGTATTGGCAATGACATCTTCAATCTAATGATGTCGGCAAGTCTTTATTCAGAAAGGAACTCTCTTGTACAGAAAGAAATATTTGCGTATAACACGAAAACTTGCTTCCTCTCTTAGTTCTTGTTTGCAATATGGCTACTGTGGTAGAAGACGTTTCAACCATACAGTAGTATGTTAATGGTGTTATGTTTATGTTTATTGAATTTAATATAATGCTCATTATTACATCTTTGATATATTCAAGGCTGCTGTACATGAACGATATATATGTACACACACACACCCACACACACAAACAGTAAATAAATAAATAAGTAAATAAAATTATGAAATAAACCCATAATACAATAATACAAATTGTTATTAGCAGAATGTTCTTTCAAAGAGATAAGTTTTCTTGAAATGTTCCAATGAAGGACACTCCTTCAGATTTTGCGGTAGTTTATTCCAGAGTTTTGGTCCTGCTGCACTCAAAGATTTGTCTACAGAGGTTTTATTTTTATTCATAATGTGGACGTATTATGCCGTTGCCCCTGTCTGTTTGTTGATGTGTATGTGTGTGTATGTGGATTGCCTACTTTCACAACACGAGAGTCGCCGTTAAGCCACGCGACGAAAAAGTCGCCGAAAAAATCGGCGCCTTCTTCGGCGACTTTTTCGTCGCTCTGGCTTAACGGCGATTTTTTCGGCGACTTTTTCGTGTTGTGAAAGTCGCGGGTCGCCGTTAAGCTAGTATGACGAAAAAGTCGCCGATCGGCGCCTTTTTCGTCGTGCTGGCTTAACGGCGACTCTCGCGTTGTATCTAGGAACCCGCCGATCTAAATGGACGCTTTCAGCCATCATAGTAATGATTTTAGCAACAAACCTATATTTTAGCCTTAGTTTGAATATATATTGTATAATTCCCTTTTCATTTTTATTAATATTGATCACTCTGTTACCAGTTAGTGTTCTGTTCTTCGTCTGCTCGGTTTTCTGTGAGTTTCCGACCTCTGAAACAAAACGAATATAATAACCCCCATAATAATAGCCCGAAAACAAAAGTTCTTCGTCCCACACATTAACTTGTCATTCACACTTTTGTATTATATTGACGTTGTTTGCTACCGACGTGTTGACCTTAATGACAATGTGGGTAGTTATCATATCAACAATAGGACAATTTTTACTTATTCATTGACAATAATTTGTTTTTCCCTATTAACAACGAATATAATATCATAATCTAATTTCCATTTAGCCCGTGAGTCAGAGGTGATGTGTTTCAATTGTTTATTAATGCTTTAACCATGCATTGTCAGTTGTCTTCTCAGATGTCCAGTCTAATTAAGATTGCAACAATGTTTCGTTCCCTTTTATTTCTCGGCTGTTAGCTACGCCAACGACGAGATCATGGACACCCGACCAAGAAACCAATCTCGACGTCATGGGCGGCCCACCAGTCTCGGCGCCCCATCAATCATGTATTATCATTATAAGGCGCCCCACCAATCATGTCATTATGGGCGTCTCTCCGGTATAAGGCACCCCACACATCACGCCGTTTTTAACGACTTGGTTGGGAAGGCGCACATAATGCCGAGTTGGGTTCGTATTGTGTCCAATGGAAAGGGCGGCTTCGGTGCCCATTGGGGGCGTCGGGTTTTTTTTTCCTGAATGGGTCTGTAGCTTGAACTGAAATAGGGATCAATTTCTCATCAACAAACTATTTCGGTAATTTTGAGACAAACTTATGGCAATTGTAATTTCTACGGTTAACTTTATATTTATACAGTGACTGGTTTCCCGCGGGTCTACCTACCAATCAAAACCCATAATACAGAAAATTCCTAAAGATAGAGGCTACAATTTTTAGCAGAGGTCGCGCACATGTGAGATCATCACTAAGTTGTGGTTTTGATTCTAAGCGTCGCTGCCTGTCCAACAGTGACACTTTTCGCCAGATATTTCTTTTTACCCCCATAGCCGAAGACTTGCCATATGTCATAATTATATTACTTACACTATCCTTTGAATTAACCTATTCAAATCATTAAACTTCCAAACAGTATTTTAAAGAGGCATTAGTCCCTTCTTCATTACTGTATCCAAATAGCACTTACAAGGGCTGGCTGAAGAATTGTAAGTTATCTGTGAAAAACCTGTATACAAATTCGATGGTTTCCATTTTTTTTCTACATAGCCCCCTTCGAGGTGTACTCACTTTTGCCAACGATGTTGCAAGGTCTTGATGCCGGTCGGTAAGACATTTTCTTCAGCCACCTAAAAAAAGAGTCGTTCACGGCTGAGATGGCATCGTCGTCATCATGCCACAGTCAATAGCTTTGGTGCCAATCTTGCAGAAACTTGTCATTCCTAACTCGTAAGCGACAATGTTCTCAACCCTGTCATGAGATATGCCCAAAACACAGGCAATATGTGGAGTGGTCAATCGTCGATCAGCCATCAACATGTCATGAACCCTGGTAATGGTTGCTGTTGGTGGCCCTCATATTCTTTAATGTGGAAAGGGAAGGGACATCATCCCCTAAAGTGGAGACTGTCGACATTTGGGGTTAGTCTTTTCAGTTGCAGGTAGTTGATGACTGCCCTATAGCCAGTTTTGTCCACTACTGGTGATCTCAATGGGTAGGTTCACAAGATGGTCTGGTACGAAGACAATAATAACACCGCAGTTACAGTTCAATGATTCATTTAATGATTGCAATAGAACGAATTACAAATTGAAATTTAAAGTATCTATATTTAAACGATGGCTTAGAAGATGTGTCTCATATTTGCATACAAATCACGTCAACGCTGATGAGGATCTCCTAAGGACTAGTACATCCTTAAATTCCAATGCTAGAAGTCCATTAATTGAGTATGAATGTGGTCGTGAATTTTAATATATTTATATTTTAAAAAGGCCATTACCATAAAAACATCTGTAATTTGCGTTCTATTGTGTAAAATTAATACGTACTAATTTAACCGGTGATGGTTTGGTATCTTTTCAAAAATCTACGTCTAATTTAATGATTTAATGAAAGACATAGTAAAACGCTTTACACGCTATTAGTTTTTATTTATTATAAGGAATTAGACAAAGAAACGATCTTATAAAACTTATATAAAAACATAACGTTTTCAAAAAAAAAACAAAAGAAGCGATAGAACTGACAAAGGCCAAAGAATTGAGAGGTTTTTTTTTCATTTAATAATCTTTTTAAAATCTATGTTGGTACCAGAAAGCTATTAAGCGGTCTAACAATGGAAACGCTTTCAAGCGATCACAGTTACTGAGAGGATTAGAAGCGATTATTAATTATAAATTACCTATTTTTACATTCACAAGAATTAAGCGATGTTGTAAGTCGATATTGAAATCAGATAATAATGTTAAACGATGAAAATGGCGTTTAAGTACCAGAACTGATCAAGTGTATTGTGCCAATGTGACTAATGGTATAATATGCAATGGAATGCGGAATGTGACGATGGGTGGGGGTGGGAGGGCTATTGGTAGGTTGTCGTGTGGTCTAACGCCTGCGCTTTAGATCATTAGATATGTCACTGAGTCAAGTGGTGTACTTGGTTGTGATTAAGGAATAGGATCGGTTGTCCAACTCGTGGCGTTTATCCAGGTCCTACATTACATCCCACTTCTAAAGACCCCTACGCGCTAGCGAAGCATTCAAATACAATTGAACCATCATCCAGAAACAACCTAGGTTGTGCCGAGTTGAAATGTATCCCTCTCTGATTAGATTCTCTTCATTTATTGACAGCATAAACGGCTAGGTATTTCTAAACTATTATTAACAGTTTGCTACATATTTTAAATGATGCAACTTGTTATACAATTTGTTTTCACTCCTCTCTTATTGAGTGTTTGTTTTGTGAACATGCAATCTAGTAAATTTGATGTGAAAATGGGGCTTTGCACATAAACGGGTGAAATCAGAGAAAAAAAAACTTGAAGCCAAACGACAGTACTCTTGTCGGCCACACCATGGTCATTCCAAACTAAATGGATTTAAGAAATTAGAAGCTGGGATTGTAACCTACACCTGATTTGTTGTCGTAGTTTCTGTTAGATCAAACAAAAGCAATAGAATATTGTCCAAATTGAGACGAAAAGGAGTGGTTTTCTATAGCTTCGAGTCATCATAGTGATTCTCTTATTTTTGTTTTATATGTTAACAGATGTTTTGTTTCCTCTTGCTTTAGTATAATGAAACGAACAGGAGAGGCAGCACATTTCATGAGAGATCATATTTTTAAAAAAATATTTTGTAAAGCTTCTCAAACCTTATGAGATTTAAAAACATAGAACTGGTCTTTCCAGATCCCTTGCATGGCACAGGTCGGGTATTATTATATCAAGAACACCTGATACCACATCAGTGGGGTTTGTTTTTGTCCTGTGGAAAGTTCACATAGCTAAACTAAGTGTATTCATCTGGACATTAAGGTTACATTTAATTTTTTACATTTACGTTGCTCTATTATCATCATTTGTATGCCACAGTAAAATGAAATGGTACAAGAACCCCCTCCCCTACCCCGATTTGGGACTATGTGCACTCTGTTCAGTTTTAAAAGCAGACATCGAACTTCACTTTTTAATTGAATGTCCACACTATCAATCTCCCATCTCCTTTCTGCTACTTGCAGTGATAACAATCTGACCGTAAGATTTGAAAATCTAATTAACTATTCCCCTTCAGTTTCTATGAGTGTGTGTCATTATGTATATAAGGCATTTCAACTTAGACATCAAGTCTAGCCTTACCATGGGGTGGGGAGAATGGTTAACGCGTGCGCGTTGCATCATAAGGTCATTCATTGAGTCAAGTGGCGAGGTTTAGATTCCCCTCTTGTACGCCCACCTCGTCGGTATTCTCCGGGTTCTCCGGTTTCCCGCCACTGCTAAAGACCCATACGCGCAAGCGAATTAATGAAATAAAATTGAACCATTTGAAGAGCCCCGGGGAAGAACGATCTAAGTCACTTTTTCAACAAACCCCAGTTAATGGCGCAACTTGTATAAACTTTTTTATGGAACAATCAATTTCACCACACTGATCCGCAGTGAATATTCGCTTGGCCGCTACAATCACTGATAAGGATGACATCGATGCGACTTAATGACTACAAAATATTAACTTTTTTCTTTCGACAAATTAAATTCTGAAACATTTTTTTTTAGTATTAGAAAAATAAATGAAGGTGTTTGACGTATATCTTGATAAAAAATATTCCATATTTAGCGTAAATAGGTACAGAAAATAGTACGCGGAGGCGTAAAATGGGTAAAACGATATAATTCTGCCCGTACCAATTCATATTACTACGTTCGATGTAAACAACGCACGTGTGACCATCAATTTGACGTTTTTTTTCTGTTTGTTTACTCTGAATTCTTTCAGAAGTACATTTTTTACCGTTTAATCTGATTGACCTGCTCGTGTTTGTTTTAAA